GATTGTTGGTATAACGTAAATAGTGAAGGGTAATAATGGGTGTGGGAGGCAAATTTTGGGAACTTCTAAAACCCTACGGGCGCTATGAAGGGTTTGATTACCTGAGACCGCCATCAAGGCCTATTGCCGCAATCCCCATCTCAGGCTTACATTCTTCCGTACCATCAACCTCTTCTCCAAGGTATTCCATTTGCCTTTTTTAGCTTCCTTTATTTTTAGAAACAAAATGGAATTGCTTTTGGTTGCTTTACTGGGTTCTGGTTTTTAGGGGAAGAAATACAAGGATTTATAGAATAGACTCGTTTAATTAAGTGAATATGGTGTTGGGTTTTTAGTCTAGCGGAAGTTTTTATTTAATTAAGCAACTTGCCGCCAATGCCATTGTCTTTTTTTGTTGCTTAAATCAGTATAATATGAAAATTTCTCTTCTGAGTGAAAGAAATTGGCTTTACCGTATCTGACTTTATTTCTATTGTGGCAATAAAATGGAAAATTATTATCTTTATTGTATGAATGGGAATGAGAATAATGTTCTTGAAATTTTTTTGCAGTTTGGAGCCTTTCCAGTATTTGTTGTTGATGGAACTGCATCACCACTGAAATCTCAGGCAAGGATCATGCGGTTTTTCTGTTCATCTGGAATTGATTCTTCGTGCTTTCTGCCCCCTCAGAAGGATGTCTCAGTTGAGAGGAACCGGGAATTCACTAAATGTGTTAATGATTGTGTGGTAAGTTGTTCCTGACACCATGATCTCTATCAATTTTTGTTGGTGCAGTCCAAATTCTGATTTTTTTTTTTCTTGTATATGCTTGCTTTTGTGATCGATTAACCTGGTTACTTCTTTAGATATATGGTTTTAGCAAATACCGTCTTTGTAGAGCTTGCACAAAAATTTGTTACAATCAGTTTGTCATGCTTTAATCTTTTTCTGTGCACTCTTGCTTGGTCATTAGTTCATGGGAGAGATCTTGAGAGATCTTGTTCTGTCAGTGCATCCCCTCTTACAAATGATGGTTATGCAGTTTATTACATTAGTCAGCTAGAAATCATTGATAAGTTTGTGTGTATAGGATGGCATGTTTCTCAAAATCCTTTGAATGGGGATTAATTAATGGAGGATTAAATTGGAATAAATAAGGTGGGGAATAGAAAACGTTTGAAAAATATGCAATTCAATGGGAAATGGTTGTTTTACCTTAAGATTTTGTTGCTAGTTCCTAAGAATCTTGTGAAATTTCTTTACGTGTGTACGTATAGGTGTTAAACCTTTGCCAAATATGGGAATCTCATTTTATGCAGGGACCATTTGAGTGCTACCATATGTCAGATATTGAAGCTGGTCTTGGACTCAAGAGGAAACACTTGATAGCCATCTCTCTTCTGGTTGGAAATGACCATGATCTAAATGGAGTTCAAGGAATTGGCCTTGAAACAGCTCTTCGTTTTGTCAAAAGATTTAGTGAAGATGAGATATTGAAGGAGTACACTCTTCGCTCAATTTTTGAATCTTATGTTATTTTCTGTAGCTGCAAAGAGGATTCAATGATTTTATCTCATCTTGCTGGGACAATGTTTCTTGTAGATCACACAATATAGGAAATGAGGATAATCCACTTTTTCAGTGTGGAATCAAATCCAAGGATGGTATCCCAACTATTTCAGATGAGATCTCACCAAAGAAAAAGTGTTCTCATTGTTCCTTCTGTGGGCATCCTGGCAGCAAGAGAGCTCATTTCAAGTCTTCTTGTGAATACTGTGGAACAACTAGCAATGAGAGTTGTATTAAAAAGTTGGAGGGGTTTAAATGCAATTGCCCTGCTTGTCTTGGGGTATAGTTTTCTTGGCTACCCCTACCCCCCCAAGCCTGGCTCTTATTCTTGAACCCAGCTGCTGGGTTCGATGGAACCCAAATTGGTTTCTTTCTGGGCATTCTGGCGTTTGGCTTTTCTTGAATCAGAGGAGGAAAGTTGTTTAAGAGAGTGAACAAAGGAAGCGAGAAGAAGAAGAAGAACCAACGGCAAAAACAGAGATGGAGTTGTGGAATTCTTATGATGAATTTGAGAAGCTCGTTATAAAGTAGAGCACTCCCAAGTTTGTTCTTCCTTCTCCCTCAAACCCTTTTTGCGATTTTCAGTACTGCTCCTTCAACCAAACATGTATTAGTTTGTTTGGTTCCCCATGTGTTATCTTGGTGATTTTGTTCATTATTTCGAGCTTTTCTAAGTTTCTGTTTTCTCTTTAATCCTTCTTCCTTGTAGTTTGTTTTAATTTTGTAAGGTTTTTGTCTGCAAATTTGAGTTTTTGATTTAAGCAATGTGTTGTTTAGTTCTTTCAATGTTGGGATCATAGCAGTTAAATTCGTCGATCTCTCCATGATCTCCTTCCTTTTTGTATTTTTTAAAGAATTTTTGAATTTAAGAACTCAGGGGAAGAATCAGATCTCCTCATATTAATTACTGTAATGGATTTTCTATCCATTAAATCAACTTTTCCTTTGTTTTAACTTTTAAGCATTTTATTTAACCGGAACGAATTCGATTTGAATTTTCGAGGACAATCGTCGACATTAAATTTAAAAAACCTTTCTTAAATTTTTTATATATTTTTTTAATTTTGATTTTCCGTAACTTTGGAATGATTTCTTCCCCATTTTGGTTACGTTTACATACTTAAATTTCAGAAATGTCTCCGGTGCCTATTTTCCAAAAAAAAAAAGAAAAAAAGAAAAGGGAATTTAGAAATTTCTCTTGACTTGACTCTTTACCGAACCCAATAGCTGGGTTCAATGAAGCCCAACAGATCTGGGTTTGGTGGTTGCAGTCGGAAAGAGGAAGAAAGAAAAAGAAAGAGGGGGAAGAAGATGGATTGAGAGGGAGAGGGTAATAATATAACTTTGTTGTTTTTTTTTTTA